TCATCACCCTAACAAAAGCTCCGTCTCTCAACGAGTTATCCTGATGTTGTGTCTGCAAGTCTCAGCATCCAGACACACGTACTAGCAGGATCTAGCAGAAATTTGCTGAATTTTCATCGAGAAATGTTCGTGGCATCACCTGGAACTTTACAGTGCCCCACTCTGTTCTCAAGTCAGTTCAGCGTCACCTGTAAGTTGCTGCTGTTGTGGTTCAGCTCATCACAGCTATTTCAGCAAGTTGGGCGAGTTTTGTGGTGATTTGTGTCCATAGTGATAGAATCTGATTTATCTTCCGAGTTTGTGGGTAGGGAGGAGGAAGCGGCCATTCCTCACCTCCCCACACACTACCACACTTGCCTACCACCACACTACTCCACCACTACGCTACTCACTCCCTCTGCTGTTTATCTGTGAATTCAGTGTGAATTCTTTGCCAGAGTTGTGTATTAGAGTGCCCGAGGTCACTCGAAGTCACGTGGATCACAAAGCCAAGTGTGGACGAAGCCAAGTGGAGCAAGCCACGTGGGGTGTGGACGAAGCCACGTGGGTTACCCAGCCCGGTGTCCCAAGCCTGATGTCACCTTACGACATCACTCCAGGACGTCACCTCGAGACGTCTGCTGATGTCACCATGCTTCCTGCATCACTCTACTGATGTCACCCACGATGACGCCTGACTTCACAATGTCACCGTGCTGCCCTGACATCACCTCGGAATGTCACCCATGACATCCCTCATGACGTCACCATGCTGCCCTGACGTCACCTCACAATGTCACCCCATGACATCACCTCACAACGTCATGCCTGACATCACCACATGAAGTCACATCACAGTGAGCATTTTGTTTCAGTATTGTCGAAAAGATTGAGAGCAGCTATATGTCACGTGTTAATTTCCTCTCAGTGTTCTCGCATGTTCGTGAATGGCTTAGTGTCGATTTTTGCACAGAAAAGCGTCATTTGCACAGCCATGTACCGCATGAGCAGTAGGTGTGTGCAAGTTTTATGTATGTCCCTGATGAAGTGGTCTGTGCCCAGCTGTGTGTGTAGACCACAGCATGTTTTGAGCCCACCACTGTGCAGCACCTCGTGTTACTTGTCACCCAGTGTGACCATTGACAGCTGACATTTAGTCAGCCCCAGCATCAGTTATGAGAATCTGAGACCTTTGTACAGAAAGCAATTATTGTTCGCCACTCGTAGATGCCCTGCTGAGTCGTACTTGCTACGATTCCCGTCGAGACTAGTTACACTTCACCTCTTTACTGTCAGAGAGCAGTTATGTGTAGAGAACCAGTCTGAGAATGCTTAGACTAACCTCTGTTATAACTCCAGCTGTCGAGAGAATGACATCGTCAAGCAGCATTAGTCCTGTCGGCAGGTGACTGGCTAACTCATGTCAAAGCTTCAGTGAGCAGCCTGCACAAAGATGATGTCACTTTGACTGCTAGCTCACTCACTCCAGTACGGTGTATGCTGTTATGACTCCCAGGTGTTCACTGAGTTGCCTCTGCCACGACTCAATGCTCATCGGCAGTGACAGCTCCAGAAACAGTACCAGTCGAGAAATCCCGAGTCGCTTGCTAGAAGCCCTCCTATTTTGCCGGTTTGATGATCCTCGCTCGAGGGTCAGCGGGTTTTGTCCCCCCGGGGTAAGTGAACCATGCGGGGACTACCACGTGACTGCTTCCCGCTCCAGGGGAGTCGTACCTTGTTATGTCCAGTCACTGCAGGATTTTCTCCTGGTTGCAGTATCGTCCAGATGCGGGGAAGGCGTGCAGTGGTCCCCCTCAATGCTCACTCCTTTGGGACCACAATTTTTCGCACACCCCCCTTTTTTTCTTCCATCCCAAGGAATTTTTTTTTTTCCTGTCCACATGTAATTTTATATGTTTTTTCTGTGTTTGTGCCTGTTTCGTGACAGAAGCCTAGTTTTTTTTTAGCCAATTATAGTCGAGGACAACCATGTTTTAGGTGGCCGAGCGAAAAAGTAGACTGAAACAAAATCCTAGTTTTTTAACAGCTTCCCCGAGGGCAAGCCTGGTGGGCTTATCATTTAGACGGCATCACACTGCCTCTCCCTCACTCGGTGTCCAGGCATCCTAGAGTCAATAAGGCCTACTCCTCTCTCCCTCGTGGGCATGACCCCCACCTGGGGTCAGGGCAACGTAAACACACTGCCTGTGTACCCACGATATCGCAAATAAAGAATCGTCCGAAGCCTTATCAGTCACCGCCTTGATAGCGATGCAGTTAACCCATTATAAATAATATCAGCAACATAGTAATAATAATAATAATAATAATAATAATAATTATAATAATAATAATAATAATAAAATAATAATAATAATAATAATAATAATAATAATAATAATAAGAATAAGAATAAGAATAATAATTATAATAATAATGATAATAATAATGATGATAATCATGGTAGTACTCACTTGGTCCCACAACAAAGCCACTGGACAGGCCCACAGACAACATACTCAGACAGAAGGTTCGTTCTTCCAGGGTGGTGGAGCTGGCCAGGTATGTCCCACACAGTGATGATATGGCTGTGAACATAGTGTACACATTAAAATACGCACACACACACACACACACACGCGCGCGTGCACGTGTTCAGCAGATGCTATAGAGTTCAGAACTTGTCCAACACTCTACACAACTTGTCCAACACTCCACGGAACTTGTCCACTACCCCAGGAATGAAGTTAGAAAACACCTCGCCCATAAAACAATGCTGACCAGAGTGTGGCAGTTGAATGTAGATGCAGTATTAACAGGTTTCAGTTCATGAAAGAGCAGCAGAGTCAAACTTTGATGTGGTCACTCTAACAGAGACTAAACTGAGGTATAATAAGACATGTGATATTCCCAGAGGGGCTACCAAACATTAAGATAAAAAAAGGAAAAACAAGGGAGGAGGAGGAGGCTGAGGAAGAACACATGTTCAGGAACCAGATTTGAGGGACTAAGAAATTTGGAGAACTTATTAATGGCTTCTGTAATATACAACTCATCACCAAACAACAGGAGACCAAGGGAATAACAGAATATTGACCAGGAACATGGTGAGTGGTAGAACAGAGACCACCATGGTGGACTAGCAACATGGTGACTGGTAGAACAGTGACCACCATGGTGGACCAGAAACATGGTGACTGGTAGAACAGGGACCACCATGGTGTTTTTTAGTTTAATATCTTTATTATGCACCCCATACCCATCCTGTGGGCGGTACTCAAAAGATTACAATGGTACACAATGGGTCCAGGGACTGGACCCCAAAGTTATGATAACTGAACTAGTTACAAAGGTAATGAACTCCAGGTAGATCTGGTCACAATCATGGCAAGTTACAGAGGTAATGAATCAGCTTCACTCCTATACATGGTTACAGTCATGAACAAATTACAAAGTAATGAACCACTGATACGTCCACACCTGGTCACAATTGTAATGAGTTATAAATACAAATATTAAGTGGGTCATACACCCACACGAGCGTGCGCGCGCACACATACACACACGAGGGCGCACGCACAGACATATGCACATGAGCGTGCAAATATATGCATACACACAAGCACGCACCCCCTCCCCCACACATGGTAATGCATTATTTACAGCTAGCAAAGTCAGGGTATTTCTCCAGAATGGTCTGTAATCACTGTGGATAAAATACTTTGCCATTTCTTGAACATTTCTGAGTGAGTTGTCTCTAAATTCATTAATTTGATCACACTCCAGTACATAATGACGCAGGGTGTGACAATGGTCCATCTGACAAAGTTTACATTTCGTTTGGTCTACATCTGGTGGTGGTGATTTAACCTGCCATAGATACTTGTGACATCCAAGAGTCTGCTTATCTTGTTGGATGCTCCATAGACATGTGGCTCCTCCTTCATGATGGAATGATGATAGATGGACTGATTTGTGTCAATCTCCCTAAGTCTTAAGTCAATAAAGTTCAAATGAATTTCTTTTCGTATTATTGTTCTCAAACTGCTAACTGACAACCCAAGATTGTAGTCTACTCTCTCTTTGAAAGCATACAGCTTAGCCAATTTATCAGTTCTATCATGCATCTGAAGACCAATGTGAGATGGAATCCACAGCATGTGCACTCTGACTCCACTGTCCACAATCTTACCATATCTATGTCTGGCTTCTGACACAAACATGCCACAATTTATACTTAATGAGTTGAGAACATTTATGGATGACAGAGAATCATTTACAATTAAAGTATCAATCTTAGATACATGGACGCATTTGAGTGCAAGGAGTATGGCAAACAGTTCTGTTTGAAGGGTAGAGGCCCAGTTATTGATGCGTGCTCCAATTTCTTGATGAGAGTCATCACTCTGTATGACAACAGCAGCACTACCAGCTGCACCAGTGGACTGGTGAACAGAACCATCAACGTAAATAATTTGTGAAAGTGTGTTCTGTGTGACTAAGTTATGAATACAGCTTAAGGCATCATGTTTGGCTTCAAGACGAAGCTTTGGTTGTGATTTAAGTAGAGTTTTGGGGGGAATGGTAGTTTGGAATGGGGTAATATCCCATGGAGCAGGGAAGTGTTTCTGTTGCCTAACTTGACATGGAACATGTAGCTGGTTCATGCGGAGGTCGGTTCCAGTTTTTTTTGATCCATCTGGAAGGATGTTCACCAGTGCTGAGGAAAGTTTGGAGGGCTTCTGTGCAGCCAGGAACAGGGTGATTGGTAGAACACGGACCACCATGGTGGACCAGGAACATGGTGGCTGGTAGAAAAGTGACCACCATGGTGGACCAGCAATTTGGTGACTGGTAGAACTGGGACCACAATGGTGTACCAGCAACATGTTGACTGGTAGAACTGGGACCACTATGGTGGTCCAGGAATATAGTGACTGGTAGAACAGGGACCTCCATGGTGAACCAGGAACATGGTGACTGGTAGAAAAGTGACCACCATGGTGGACCAGCAGCATGATGACTGGTAGAACAGGGACCACCATGGTGGACCAGCAACATGGTGACTGGTAGAACTGGGACCACCATGGTGGTCAAGGAATATAGTGACTGGTAGAATAGGGACCACCATGGTGAACCAGAAACATGGTGAGGGAATCTTAAAGTCACAGTAATGAAGAACTTCATGAGACAACATGTTAAGGAAACAACAAGAGAGTGAGAGAAGATGAACCGGCGAGACTACACCTGGTTTTTACACAGAATGAATACAACTCACTAGAAATTACTTCTGTTAAACCTCAAGAATCCAGCAGTCATGCGGTGGTGAGTTTGTAGTTACTTGTGGAAATGGGAATAAATGAAGGAATGGAGGAAGTGAGGAGAAGGAAATGGAGATAGATAACTATGATAGAATGAGGAACTTTACGAGAGAAGTGCAATGGGAACCGGAAAAGAGAAAAGTGCGGCAGCGGCAGCGGCAGCAACGGTATCCTACCAGCTCTTCTTTCTCATAAAAACATCGCCCATCAAAACTTGTGATGGCCTAAGTGAAAGTTCAACTACATGAACCCACGTAGACCACAACATGACCCAAGAATACTAAGAATGTAACCCAAATCTTGACAAAATTAGAAGATCTAAGGAAGACAGCCCTGCTAACCCAAACACTGCCTCCGCTGCCAGACAACCACTTAACCCAAGCTCCGAGAAAACAAGCCTTCTCCTCCATTGCTACACAGTATCTACTTCAGTGATACTATGAAAGGATATCGCAGAAGACACAACACCAGTAATAAAAGAATAACAGCAAGGACCCTAGAACTCAACTTGTCTACCCAGCAGGACGCCAGTGTATCATCAACCCCCCTCACCGACGCCACCCAGGGAACAACAACAACAACAACAAACATGGCTGACTCCCCCTCCAACTCCACTCCCTTCAAAGGATTCATCCATGATAACTCAGGTACGATTATTCCTGACAATATTCAAGGACTACATCGTTGCTCTAGAAAATGAAATCAAAGATATCAAAGCAGCACTCGAGCGACGAGATTCCAAGATAACCAACCTCGAGAATAAGATCCAAAACCTTGAAGAGAAGATTACATCGGAAGTGTTGACACAGAAATACTCTAAAAGCAGCTATACCCCAGTCACACTGAGCAAATAACAACAATAAATATGAAGGTTGAAGAAGCAATCAAGGACTGGAATCAGAACATGCACACTCGACTAAATGAATACCTTGATTTCCAAGACGACAAAACTGAACAAGATAAGTTGTCTGATGCAGTTATAATAAACAGTCCAACACATTCCTAGTGACATAACACAAGCTCAGTGCAAAGAAACTGCTGTCAGGATAATACAGGACCACGTACAAGTCATCGTGCAAAACAATGAAATCAAAGAAACACGTTTGTTAGGAAAACCAGGAAGTAAACACAGTATAATGATCCGACTTCATTCATACGATAAAAGAAAGGACCTAATTAAATCAGCAATTACAATGAAAAATGGAGTGTACATAAATGAGTGTCTAACAAAAAAACGTCAAAACCTTCTGTTCAGGCTGAGAAAACTTAAACAGGAAAACAAAATACATCAGTGTTTAAACGCGAGATGGGAAAATACTAGTAAGGAAAACATCAACAGGACAACAATATACCATCTCAAACGAACATGATTTCTCTACCTTCCTTAGAAAAGCTGACATTTCTGTAACAGATTAGATAAGTGCCCTTAATACATATATACGTGTGGTGCATATAGTGTACGTTACTATTATATTGTACATTATTATTTTTATTATTTTTCATCACTAGCTAATGCCAACTACCTCCAATACTCTATAACTTTCTTACTGCTATTAATTGCTCATAATTTTAAATTAAAAGTCAAATCTTACTCCAAATTAATAATATTCATTTTTTCTTACCTGTCCATTTAATTTTGTTTATCACTACTTGTTTTTTTAGTCACTTTACATTGTGTATGCAATTAGTGTATATTCCAATTACTTTTTTGCAAGTACCAAAACTATCTTTTGCTAGCTAGTACCAACTACCTCATTTTTTTACTTTTATTGTGCAATAAAACTGCTCAATTTATCTAATATTACAAATCAGATCTTACTCCTAAACCAATATTATTTCATAGTGACCATCTGTCCATTTAACTTTGTTTACCATTACTTAATTTTAGTCCCTTATATATTTTCTCCTTTATTTTAGCTTTATAAACTACCCTAGCTTATACATTCACAATTGTTAAAATAATCAAGGTGCTATTCTCAGGTGCTAAAGTAGAACAAGTTCACAATTTTGCCATTATATTCCAAAGCTCATTTATTTTATAGTACTACCTACTATCATATTCCCAAGCTCCATTATTTGATCATCACTTTATTTGTACTAGTCCCTTTTATATTGTCTCCTTTATTTTAGCTTAAAAAAAAAAAAAAACTACCTTAGCTCATTATTTTACATTTGTTAAATAATTCAGGTGCTATTTTTTAGCTTAAGACTATTTACTTTGTTTTATACTTAATTCTAACTATAGATTCACTACAAATCTTATGATT